TCTCGCTGGTGCTATCCTGTGTTTTGCTGCAATAAGCCTTGCTTCATATTTTCCAGTACTAAGTTCCCATTGCACATATGCACACGCTCCATAAGCTTGGATACTGGCGTCAGAGAATACGATTAAAATTGGATCGTCGATGGCTTCTTTTGGCTTCAAACATCTTGCAAAGGTCACATTCTCTAATTCGTATAAATCCTTGAAAAACAACTTCCAGTCGTTCCTGGTCGTTCCTGCTTTCCTCAGGTATTGGGTCATCCCATACAGATGATGTCGAAGTTTCTTGTTCATTGGCCTTTCTGGATATCAATGTTCTGAGTAGAATTTTGGAAGTTATCGTAACTGGCGCAATAAACCCTAGAGGGTCACAAATACGCGCTGCCTGACCCAAAACTATTCTTCTGGTTAATACCCTTGGAAACACAGCATCGATGTTCGTTTCCGTTACGTCAGGTCCAGTCGGTACCCTTTTCTGCCGTTGAGAAAGTTGATTTTGACTTGAAACATGAAATGATCCTGCTTAGGCAACCAACGCATGCCGAGCACCTTTTCTTCATCAACATTCATAAGTGTAACGTCAGATTTTGCTGCAGAAACGCTGTCATCGCCAGACCAGATATAATCCAGTGCTTTACATTGAAACCGCCCTTTTGCAACATACCTTGCACCTCTTCTGCTAGGGAATGCGCGTCTTCATACCGTGGCACTGACTGGATCAGGTCATCAACGTAGCTGTTTTTTAATATCATTTCTGTGGCCCTTTCACATATGCTTCGATTCATTTCGGCTATCAAATTTAACGCTACCATCGAGATTGTTCCGCTTGGTCGGTCTCCGAATGTCACTGCTAGCATCATGTAATGCGTGGGTTCCTGGCTTATATTCAAGTTCCGCCACAAGAAACGGTGCACGTGCTGGTCCCTCTCAGCCAATTCAATGGAATGGTACATCTTGCTGATGTCCCCCACCAGTCCAATTGATTTTTCTCTGAATCGAAGTAATACTCCGAAAAGGTTGTTAATAAAATCGGGACCTTTCGCCCAGTAATCATTCAATACATGTCCCATGAATGACGCTGACGCGTTAAAGACAATCCGCAGGGGTGTTGATACTGAATTGGGCTTTACAACTTCATGGTGACATAAATAGTGTATCTGCCCTTTAAAGTTTAGCATTTCTTCTCTGGATAATTTTCTAGCTACTCCTCTTGCTACCATATCTCGTATTTGCGCGTCGTAGGCTTTTGCATGATCATTTCCCATCTTGAGCAACCTTCTTTCCGTGGCTCTCATTCTTGCTTCGGCGATGGTAACGTTGTTAGGGAGTTCATTTGGGTCTCTAATCCAAGGATAATGCGCAATTAATTTTCCCCGCTTGTGATCGTACACTAGCCCGTCCTTTATCAGTCGCAATTCCCGTTCTTCTTGTAGGCTGTAGCAACCGGTACCTGTAGCGCATTTGCCACACTTGCAACCACCGCATCGAGGAGTGCAACATGTTCCAAGATTTTCAACCGTGAAATATTCGTCTAATTTTCTTTTCAAACTGGTCAATGGTTCAATGTAAATATTGTTTACATCGCAAATATTGGAACCACGGATGATCTGAACTTGTCTGGAAGAAGCCACTTCTCCAGTGAGACAACCGCGAATGCAATATCCAAATTGATTCTTTAATAGTTGAAGATTGCCAATCGTTTCAGTAACAATTGGCATGATCGCACAGCAATCAATGCCAATTAACATATCAACATTGCCGTGAGGTCGTTCAATATCTTTGGGCTGGATATTTTGGAATACCTAAAGGTGCCACTGCAGAAACGTCGAATTTATATAATGCGGATGTAATTTCTTCAATGCCGTACGCGTGAACCTCCCATTGCTTTCCGTTGGCATCAATCAACGGAACAACATAGCGTTTGCTGTTGTAATCTTGCGTTTCGTTTCCAACTTTCGTTATCGTCAATGTCGTATCGTGACCTGTGAGATTCAATGTAGATGCCGCTTTATGGTCAGTTAACTTGACCTGGTGACCTGACCTGACATGACCTGGGGTCACAAATTTAACACATTGTCCAAAATTGATGTACCAAAAGCTACCCCAAGCCGTGCGGTGCTACGCGCCGCGGTTTTTTATTCACACGCAAAAAACGTGGCAGGGTGGTAACATATGCTGGGACAATGGTTAAATGAACTTTGCTCATTTCCGTAAAATGTACTCGAACGCCTATCGAAAAAAAGCCAACCTCCGCCGCCGAAGGCGGCGGAGGGCGGAATTTTTTGATAGGCTAGGGGCATCGGCCCCCAGCGGCCCCCTGGATCCGCGCCTGTGTGACGTCATCAAAGGTCACCAAAGGTTTTTTTGCCAATAACTCCGTACAGGAACAGGAAACAGCCGCGCGAATGGTCTCATTGTGTTCAGCTCGTCAAGGCGCATCGAATGATATACATGATGACCTCAAGGTCATGTGACGTGAGGTCAACTTTTGACCTTGACCTTTCGAGATCAACATATATATTATTCGATGCGGGTTGACGAGAGGATCATGATCAGTGGCGTATACAGGGAGGGGGCATGGCCCCCCTTTTCGCCCAGCCGCCCAAATGGCGCCCCAATTAGCGTCGACTAGGCTGATGCCGTTTTACAGAGAGAACATGAATTAAAAAGTGATGTGCAGGCAGTGATCGAACTCAATATCTCTTTGAGGGTGCCTGGACACCTAAATGTTCTCCAGGGCACCCCCAAATACGACCTGAGCCCCCAAATGTTGAAGGGCGCCCCTCCGGATACCAGAATATTCCGAGCCCCCGGGGTCGAAAGCGCCCCTGAAGAGCCGCTGGCACCCACCTGAACGGAACAGTCGCCCCATTAAAGCTTGATGTCGCCCCTCTAGAGCACCCGGCGCCCCTCTGAAGTTCACAGCTGCCCCAATCGACCCAACCAAGATCGATGGCGCGCCCTGAAACCACTGGCGTCCCTCTAAAGCACCCGCAATCTTTTCAAGATCACAGTCGCCCTATCCGAGATCAATAGCGCCCTCAAGAGCCACTAGCGCCCCTCCCCCACCCCCTTGAGACTGAAGTCGTCCCGCTTGAGACTTAAGTCGCCCCATTCAAGCCCAATGACGCCCCTCCAGAGCGTCCGGCGCGCTTCTGAAGATCGCGCCCATCTAAACGAAGGTTACAGCTGCTCCATCTTAAGATCGATGGCAACCCTCTGAAACCAATGGCGCCCTTCTAGACTACCCGGCACCCCTCTGAAAATCACATTCGCCCCATCCGAGACAACGCCCCTGGAGACTACAGTCGGCCCACCCAAGCTCAAGCCCCTCCAGGGCCTCCCTCCAGCGCCCTGCTGAAGGCAACAGTGGTCCCATCCATGCCCAATGGCGCTCCTCAACGCCGTTCTAAAGATCACAGTCGCCCTATCAATCCGAGGTCGCTGGCGCCCCTCAAGAGCCACTGGCGCCTACCTGAACCGGGACTTCAGTCGGCCCATCCTTGATCAATGGCGCCCCTCTGAAACCACTGATGCTCCTCTAAAAATCCCAGTCGGACCATCCGAGATCAATGGCGCCCCTCCAGAGCGTCCGACGCCCTACTGAAGGCAGTAGTGACCCCATCCAAGCATTGCACCCCTCTAGAGCACCCGGTGCCATTCTGAAGATCACATTCGCCCTATCCGAGGTCGTTGACGCCCTCCAGTAGTCACTGACGCGAAACTGAATGGAGACTTCGGTCGGCCCGCCCCATTCAAGATTGATAGCCCCCCCCCCGAAACCACTGACGCTAAGCAATTATTGGACAATGGGGCTTTCTCATTGACACCAAGGGCCCTTTTCAAGATGCAGCAGCCAGGCGGCCCTACTTAGATCATTTTTAAGGTTAGGTCGAACTGGTCGAAGGTCAGGTCACCAGCGACAACCGAAAATCAAATTTCGCCGATGTTGACATTTTTCGACAAAGCGGCGCATGTCAGGATTCAGAAAGAGATTGAGCTACAGCGCCGCAGCAAAGCGCATATTCGATAGCTCTTTGTATGCTCTCTCTGATTGATTATCTCAGATTTGACCTAAGGTAAACGTTTTAGCATAGGTGTAGGAACGTTTTCGAAAGTGGGGGGGCCAGGCCAAGATTACTTTACTACTCAGGTTGGTTCACTAGGGAAATAAAGGCGCCGTAGCTACGTCACGGATTTGGTAGCAATCTGGTAGCAATTTTTGCAGACATCAATGGCGCGCGTGTTGTTTGATCGTCACCAATCCTATTTTGCTGCACTACTTTGTTATTTCACTGCAATGTATTGTACATTACATTTAATGATTAAAATAAAGAAATATTCGTAACCAAGCAAGTCAGTTTTTCTTTTCAAGGCAACACTCTGTCAGCATTGAGCCTACAGAATGTGTCATGTTATAGACTTTCTCATATTACCTACTCTTGTGGAAAACTTTCTTAGTCATGAAAAATGTATGCATACATGGGTGTCGATTTGTATACCTTTGGGGGTGCTGCAGCACCCCCAATGCTCAAATGAGCACCCCCAATGGTTTTCCGAGCACCCTCAAATGTTCCACTTTGCACCCCCAATGATTTCGTCCCCCAATCACTTTCAACAGTTCTTGTCAAAGAAAATAGTTATTTTCGCAGTCTTTCACCAAACTAAATAAAATTATTACACAATCTACAACGCATTAGATCAAGATATGAAGAAATTAGAAGTTTTTTTTAGTTCACAGTGAAAAACACGTGAAGTTGCAGCACATTACCTTTATTATTATTTGGAAGCAATTTTACCTTCGCATTTCACGTTGGGAGGGCGGCGGGGAAGGCTGCGTAGTGCGTGGTGCAAAGCTTTGGAACTCCGCGTGGTGGGCCCGCGAATCGTTGAATTTTCGGAGTTCGATGTTGAATAGCCTTTGATCTTCAATACAGCTATTTCTGAGCCGGTTCAGATATGGATATTCGCAAGTACTTGACGAAGAAGGTAGGCCCGCTAACATCGAAATGCGATAATGTGCCATTTTTCAGCGATTATTAGAGATGGGATCCAGTCCCAGACAGCAGATAAACTGTAAGCCAGCCTCACGTATGTGCCTAGAAAAGAATGGATTCTGGAATTCTACCAATATCAAGTTTAACGTCACGGTTGTTAATCATTTGCCGTTATGCAATCGTAAATTTCGCCACTGTTGTAGCATAACAACAACACGATCTGGCATGGGCGCGGGAACTACTTTCAGACTGAGGGGGGGGGGACACCATAATAGAGATCAACCTAGGATACACCCAAATATAGTTTTCTCACCAGTTTTAGGCGACTCATTTTTCATTCCGTTTTTTTTCAACAAAAAGAAAAACATTTGCAAAAAAGTGCGGTATTCCGTCTCCAAGTTGTGGTGGCACCGCCCCCACGGCCCCAAAGTTGGGGGCAAGCTGACCCCCTGCCCCTCCCCGGTTCCCGCGCCTATGCAATCTGGAAATCAAACTACTATATATTTATCAATGAAAAATATTTTTCCATTCCTTCATATTTCATTTAAACCATGATTTAAATTGAAATACATAATCAATATAATACTGAGGAAAAAGTAATGACACAGTTGTTACGTTTCCAGCCTCCACCGAAGCCGATTCCTGTTTCCTGCTCCTCTTCACCGGATACTGGGAGTGATAATGAGGAAGCCATGCAACCAGCTGCCAAAAGGAAAGCATCAATCGGTTAGTACTCTGCCTTTTGGCAGCTTTCTTATCAGTCGACCCATATAGAAACCAGTGTTCGAATCAAATATCCTTCATTTATAATTGAACGAACCTAAACCTAAGAAATTTCATTTTCCCACGCAACAAGAGAAGGGGAGTAGAACTGCGCCAATTTTTACTTCGTATGTGTTTGTCTGTGGCCTGTGGGCAACACGCACAAAAAGCATACTTGCGTAGCGATATTCCGGAGCAAGAGCTCCGTCACTTTGTTGATTGCATAAAAACGTTTCCCGTTGTACCAGTCTGCAGTCGTGCCAGTGGTTTCTGATGATCGCCGTATATGTAGATGTCGCTGCAGGCTGCATTCGTTGGCAAACCGCAGCGACATCTATCGTACGGATTGTGCTCTAAAAGCTACCACCTTCTAAAACAGCCGCCGATAACGACGTTTAGAAAATTAGGAAATAACAGCTTTGTTGCCACCGACTTCCTTCTGACTCTTTGACGGAAGTCGAGGAGAAACTGAGGGAAACACATTGGAAATCTCTCTGGTCAGAGAAGCTAAATTATACAAAAAGTGTTTATGGGCTGAAAGCGATCACATGCGGGTAAAAGTTGAAAATTGACGTGCTAGATCGGTTATTGGTTAAGCAAGGTCATCGTTGTTTTCGTCAATAAATCGATCAAATTTAGCTTGCGAGTCGAAAGAGCCAACAATGGACCAAGAACGACCGGCCGAATCGAATAGCATGCTATATGACCTCCTCCGAACAGCTCCATAGCTTGGGCGGCTGCGGTCTGACCTTGTCCTGAGATCATTTTGAGGTTATCTTTCCCTATATCATTCGACATGGCTGAGCATGACGATAGCAATGGTGCCAACATCGCAGCTAGGAGACAAAAATTCAAAATTCTGGCGAATTTATTCATCCAAACTGGACACTACCTAACGATGTCTCACTTAGAAAATAGGTATAACAATAAAAACGTCTGGGCTCCGACAATAAATCTTTCCTCTCCTCAGGTCTGTCGCAGTCCGATGACGATCCTTCTGTCCCGGTCCCTGCATCGTCACCACCGGAAGCGTCTGGCTCGACACCGGATACGCTAAAAAAGCCAGGATTTAACCCGGCGGCCGCTGGGCCTCCGCGCCACCCGCCGGCCGCTGGGGGGGGGCATAAAGTTGCCCCCCTTTACTTCTGCGACGATATCGTCGCAACGCGAAGAGATAGAGAAGCGAAACTTTGCACACATCTTCCTGAATACCTAGCCGAGGTTGTGTCCAAATTTGGTGTCGATCTCATTTGAAATGACGTCACAGTGACGTCATAAGTGAAATTATAGATTTGCGACTCTCATATTCCTCACGATACATCACATATATGGGACCGAATATAAAGGGCCGATTATTGGTCAGAAACTAGATGGAAGTGTAGTAAGATGTTTTAGGATGACAGCAGGTGCTGTCTAGTTCATTTACAGTCGAGTTTCATGCTCAGCGTCATCAGAAACGGTCCATATCGGAAAACGACAAAACTTTATGACGTCACTGTGACGTCATCTTAGGTGCTACAACCACCAAACTTTCCTCAAACATTGCCTAGGTATTCATTTGAAGCTATGCCAAGTTTCACGTTCGTAGCTCATCAGTTTTCGGAGATATTTCACAAAACGTAAAGGGGGGGCAACTTTATGCCCCCCCCCAGCGGCTCGTGGGTTAAGCGCCACTTCCAGCCCAGGTGGAAAGAACAGTTCTCATGGCTTAACTACGAGAATGGCGCCGTTACTTGCGCGGTTTGCTGTACCGCCGGTCGTCAAGGACTCCTTGTGGGCTGCCGTAAAAAAGATGACGCATTTACGACCAAAGGATTCTCCTCATGGGGACACGGTCTGGAGCGATTCCGCCAGCACGAGGCAAGTGATTGCCACAAGATGGCGTGCGAGTCGCTGCGTACTGTCAGAAGGCCGTGCGCCGCCGCCGTTGCGAACAGCAGTGGAAAGGCACAGGAGCAGGCGAGGGGGCGGCACGCACTGCGCCGCATATTTGACGCAGTGGCGTTCGTCAGCAAGCAAGGACTCGCTCTTCGCAGGGACCCGGAGGAGGAAGGAAATGTCATTCAACTGCTGAGCGACATTGCTCGTCGCGACGAGTTGCTGGCTTCGTGGATGTCACGCCGCGGGACAACCGGAATCCATTTTACCTCCCCTGGTGCGCTGGCCGAGATACAGAAACAGCTAGCGCTGGCCGTCACCCGCCAGGTAGTGGCAGAAGTTGCCGCAGCACCATACTTCGCCCTCATCCTCGATGAAACAACCGATGTGTCAAGGCGTGAGCAAATGGCGATGTGCCTTCGCTTCGTTAGCGAGAACCTGGAGGTTCGGGAAACATTCATCGGCCTCTACCAGGTTGACGATACGTCAGCCGCTGCACTGTACCAGGTGGTCCGGGACGCCCTCTGCCGAGTCCACCTGCCCGTCAATCGGCTGCGTGGGCAGTGCTATGACGGTGCTGCCAACATGGCGGGCGCCATCACCGGCCTTCAAGCGCGTATCAAAGAAGACGAGCCGAGGGCCGTATTCATCCACTGTACGGCCCGCAGGCTGAATCTGGTGGTCCGCGCGGCGCTGGACGGTGTGCGCGAAGTGCGTGATTCTGTTCAGGGGGCATCGGCGATCACGAACTTCTTTCGTGACTCCCCCAAGAGGCTGGCAGCCTTCCAGAGCACTGGTCCGCCGACCGCGCTACGGCCGCTGTGCCCGACCAGGTGGACATGCAGTGAGCGGTGCCTTTGCGCGCTGCTGGACGCCTACACAGAGACGATCTCGACTCTGGAGGAGATGGCTGAAGACCGTGCGACCCGGCCTGACGTCGCCAGTGCCGCCAGTGGCTTTGTGAAAACGCTGCAGAGCTTCGACTTTTTCTTCGGTCTGAGGTTGGCACTGCTGCTGCTCGCACCCGTCACACCCGCCATGACGGCTGTCCAAGGAAGCTCACAGTCAGTGGCCGCCAACCTGTCACTGGCTCAGAGGGTTCGCGAGGTGATCCTGAGCCAGCGGAACACGTTTCCACGTTTTTGGGCTGATGTGACCAGCAGCGCCGAGGGGCTGGGCGTCGATGAGCCCAGACTGCGTCGCCAGCGGCGTCCGCCCAAGCGCTTGGACCAGGGAGCCGAGCCCCACCAACCGGCCACTCCGCAGGAGCATTACAAGACAGTGTACGTGGAGGCTGTGGACTGGATGGCCGCCGCGCTGGCCAATCGTTTTCAAATCGACGACTGTGCCCTGAGCATGGCTGAGCGGGCGCTTCTCACAGCCGACGAAGAAGCAGTCACCACTACGGCCGCGTTCTACCAGCTAGACGCCCAGCGCCTGCGCCTGCACACACAAATGCTGGTAGACGTGGCACGAGAGCGCGGCACGCGCCTCGAAACTCTGAAGGATGCAGCAGCGCTCCTTCAAGACAAACCTCTGCGGAAGGTCCTGCCTGCTGCGGATGACCTAATCCGCATCATCCTGACCGCGCCGGCCACGTCGTGCGCTGCTGAACGCACGTTCAGTCAGGTCCGCCGCATCAAAAGCTGGCTGCGCTCGACGCTGGGCCAGGAGCGGCTGAACCATGCTGTCATGCTGGCAGTGCACCGTGAACGACTTGAAGAGCTAGACCTCGAGACAGAGGTCAAGGAATTCGTTTCCCAAAGCTCGCAGCGCTCCAACGCCTTCGGTCGCTGGTAAATCAGTCGGGCCGCTGGCCACTGCTCACCGGTGAAGTTTGCCGGCGAGCCGCTCAGCGGTAGCCGACCCAGACTTTTACCCCGGGTCTTCCACTGTAACCACCGTCTGATTGCCGCCAGAGCATCGGAGGTACCGTTGCTTCTCCGCACTGTCCGCCCGTGCGGTGCCGCCGCCAATATCGCCGTCATCGGTTTCTGAAACATTATCCCAGAGCCCAGAGGTGCCGGGGCTGCTGCAGAGCTGCCGGCAAAAATACAACTTTGCTCGAAAAGATGTTTCTAAAGCAAGATAACCAAGTAGGTACTAGGACGAGCAGTATGATTTTCAAGACGTTTTCCGAAACATATTCATTTACTTAGGCTACGGTCAGGTTTTCAAGAGAGTGAAAATATTTGTGATGTACTGCTCTTTTGCAATTCACAACCAGCGACTGGCTGATATGTTGGCTGTTGCTGATTAATTTTGTGCAAGGGCGCAGAACTGTTAACGCTTTGGGATCATGCATTTATAGCGTTTTCACTTGAATTGTGAAGGCTGCAATTGCTCTGCTCCTGCAAACAGTCGCCATTCTTCCCTTGAGAAATATTAGTGAAAATTCCGGGCTTATCAGTACCTGATGGGTACACCCAACCCTTCCTTGCACTTGCTCGCTGCAGGGGTTGAGCACCCCCAACCATTTTGAAAAATCGACACCCCTGTATGCATATATGCATAATTAGAACTTCATTTACAAGGTTTATAGAAATAAAATTTCACATTACATCATAAGGCTATCTGCATATTTCGTTCAACCAATGAAATATTTATTCAGCAGAAGGCAGGTACTTCTGAGTAGGTACTGATATTTCTTATCTACACCAATATTTCAGGAAAATGACAGAGACTGAGAAGCTTTTTAAAAATTCAGCATATGAAAGGGATGTTATGGCTTGTGCACATTGAAAAACATCAGATGATGTTTTTGAACCATCTCATTCACCAGCACTTATCAATCTGGCTCCTGGATTCTGTTAACCCGCGCATGACTGGGGTATTTTCCATAACGCGAGTGACTGGGGGGGGGGGGGGCTCTCCAGAGCCCCCCCTCCTATCTCCGAAACTATACTGGGCCGATCGTCAAAATTCAAACGGCTTCTGATAGCCCTGGAAAAACTGTCGAGCGAAACCCATTTTCATTGACCTCGAGGTCACCGATGACGTCACAGGTCAGGTCAAAGTAAAAATTATCGACATTTTTGCTGGTTCACAATTTAGGCTCTGACCGCCGGACCGCCGGTCCGATCAGG